GACTGAATGAAGTATAAAACCTGCACCGACTCAGTAGGATCAGTTGATTCATCCAGAGCAAGTCAACAATGTTTTTCCTTTTGAAGTATCTTATGAAGTTATTCTGACAGTGGTTCTCAACCTTCCTAATGCTGCGACCCTTTAATACAGTTCCTTGTGTTGTGGAGACCCCCAACCATAAAATTATTTTCGTTGCTACTTCATAACTGTAATTTTGCTACTGTTATGAATCGTAATGTAAACATCTGATATGGAGGATGTATTTTCATTGGTCACGACCCACAGGTTGAGAACTGCTGTGTTAAGTTGAAGGCTAATTCATGCTGCTGATCTGTTATGGTTCTCCTTGAGGGAGGCAGTTGTTGGTGCTTCAAAATGTAATTGGGGTCTAAGCATCCTTCATCTCCAACAGTGGATTCTTTCACAGTTTCTACATCACTGAATGGCTTCCCCTTTTCCCTGAGTGTATAAGCTACTTTGTAAGTTGCTTCAGTGGCATTATTTCCAGGTCTTACTGCGGCTTGAAAGAATTGTCTGTGCTTTTGCTTTTCATCTTTTAGTTTCTGCAGTACAGCCTTTCGTGTCTCTCCTTCTAATTTAAAATATTTGTGGCCCTTACGAGTGTTAGAATGCTCATGAGCATTCTATTTCTTTACTGTCGATTTTTAGTACCACAAGGCAAGAAAATTGTCTTGTCTTTAGTAGAAACAAGATAATGATCGCAATTCTAAGTCCTCATTAAAAAATCTGTTTTCTTCAGTGTTCTTTTGGTCTTGTTCAATATGATGGGTTGTTGAGCAAACAGAGTTAAAAGGTCCTGTCAAGCTGGGCAACTAAGAAACACAGACACTGCTGTCAAAAGCTGGTAACAGACTGGTGTACTTAACCCTCATAAACTCTCACCAGCCAGCCTCCTGCAGTAATAGTGCTAGTCTGGTGCGGGAAGTTAGAGCTAAATCATGAGGGTGGCTGCTGTCACATTAGCCCTTATGGCTTCCTAATGTTCTAATGGTGTCTGCCAGTCTGGGAGGATTATTTTGTTGAAGCTTATTCTATTCTTTGGTATTTTAAATCTGTTCATTTAAAAAATAAAATAAAAATATAAGAGATGAACAAAAATGAATTAATACAAATAAAAGGATTTGTTCCGTAAAATTTGGATTCGGTGAAAAGGCCACATGTAAGGACCTAGAATGCCACATGTGGCCTCAGACTGCAAGTTCCCCACAAATTTGGATGATACAAATTTGGGAGGAATAAAGTTGGCTGGTAGGTCACAGATTCAAAAAGATCTCCATGGACAAAGGTGAAGACCTGAAGGGAACACACTGAAAATCCTTTGGTGAGAACGGTAAGTCCTGCCTTGTAGCTAAACAATTTCCCCAGGAAGGCTGGGTTTGGGGACCTGGTGGAAGGGAAGGTCTGTGCTCTGTAAGCCCAGGGCTAGCTAGGGCAAGCTGGGACTCCAGAGAGGCCGGCACAGGTGTAGCTGTTTTGGAGGTGAATGACTGAGGGGCCAGACCCCAGAGCAAGCCCTTCAGGATTCATTCAGTCCTTCTTTCAGTCCTGAGATGCCTGCCCGTCATCTGCTGTGCACCCAGAAAGGAGTTGGGGCTGGGTCAGTTCTAGGCATCATGTTTCTAAGCAGAGAAAGACCTTGAACTTACACAGAGGGGAGAGGGTAGGAGTCCAAACCTTAGCAGTGTTTGACCTGAAAGCCAGGCTGTAGGTGGGAGTTTTGCTCCTCTTGTGCTGGCAGCCAGGCTGGGAAGGAGGCTGGAATCATCAGGACTGGTGGGTGGAAGTGATGGAGGAAAGTTTAGGTCTTGGGCTTAGGAAGATTACCCTACAGTGGGAAGTGTCTTTGAAGTAGCTGTGTGCAAGAGTAATGGCCCTGTGGCCTGAAGCCTCCGAGCAAAGCTAGGTGGCCACCTCTTGTACCTGCTGGCTGAGGGGTCTTCCCACCAGAGGGGCTGCTGTGTGAGACACTGAGGTTTCTTTGAGTTCCAAGAGACTGCGGCTCTGTGAGTGGTGTGACTCACAGAGGTTGGAGGCCCTGGTGCTGAAGCAATGTCAGAAAGAAGACCAAAGAGCACATGGCCCTGTCTCCAGCGTGGATGTCAAGAAAGGAGGACCCTGACCTGCACAGCACTCTGCTGTCTGCTATTTGCTTGGAGCAGGACTGCCTTCAAGGGATGGTGGCTATCCTGGAATGTTCTATGAAGGGTGAAGGGAATGTCCTCAGACAGGATCTTCCTTTTGATGGCCAGCTATGTTCTGGGTACTTCCTGTGTGCTGCCACAGAGCTAGCCTTCAGGGGACAGGTGGAGGATTCTTGTTCACCAGGAGCTTGCTGTGGCGTGGAGAAGACCAGCAGGCTGGGGGGACAGGGGTAAGATGGGGCTGGAGTGGAGATCAGACTTGCCATGGGCCACCTTGTGCAGTTTGCTGTGAGGTGTGTACGCTGGGAGCCATGGCTGTTTCTTGAGCTCCAAGAGGTTAAAGTGACCCCCTCAGGCCTCAGCCAGCAAGTGTCGGGCTAAAATGAACACCTGGTTTCATGCCTTCTGATCAGTGCTGTTTGCTTGAGAATCATGAGACTGTAGTATGCTGTCTTGAAGCATTTTCTGTCTATGGAAAGTAAGGTGCACCCTGCTCCCAGTCACACATGTGAGCTTGATACCCCACCGGGCGGTCAGGAAGATGGGGCTGCTCCATGCCTTCCTCTGGAGCGTGTCTGCATTCCTGCTTTCAGGTGTCGACCTCCCAGCTTTGCTTGTGGCTCAGGACTCAGTAGGAGGCCGGAAGTTCTGCTTGGGTTCTCTGTGAGCCACTTATGGCCAAGTTCAGCCTGTTAGTGAGTTTTTGTTGGCTGGTGTAGTGTTGGCATGTATGGAGTTTATGCTTTTTAAAAATTATCAGCATTTGCAAATCAGGAGATTTTATTAAGAGTCCAGAGTTCTAGCTTATCCAGAGAAACCAGATCTTATAACTGGAACTGCAGCCCCCAGGGTAGTGACTGGTGGACATAGTGGCTTCCTTCTTAGTTAGAGTCTGGGCCCTTTGGGTCACTGCAGACCTCTCCCCACTCCACTTCTTTCTTTGTTTCCCTGACACTGAAGCTGAATGTCACTGGGTCTTTACCATGATGCAGGCATGTTATTTTTCTTGGAATTGCTCACTATATTCAATTATGCCTACTTGGCCCTTGGAGACACTTGTCCTGAGACACAGGTCATCATGACATCTTATTATCCAGCTACAGTCTTTAGAGTGGTGGGAAATCCTGCTACGTACAGATGGCTTAAATACCATCTGCTCTGGGGGCCTTTCTTTGCCAGCTGCGGTTCTGGCTTCCCAGAGCATGGCACCTGTACTTCTGTTATGTTCCCAGTGTGGCCAGGTCACAGTTTAAACGTCATCTGATTCTTTCCTTCAAAGACACTTGCGTCATAACAAGAGCCACTTGTCACTGTCTTTGCTGTAGGCTAATGCCACGCAGGGCCCGTAGCTGTCAGTAAATGTTTGCTCCTTTAGATTACACTGAACAATTATTTGGCCGTCACAAATGCTAATGGGATGGAAGTGATTCCCTGGAACATGAAATGAATAGTTTGCTCCTTGTTATTTCCTGGAATCCTCGAGTCTGAAAATGATTTGGTTTTGGATTTGGCTCATGGAACCCGTCTTTCTGAAGTCACTACTGTGTTAGAAAGCTCAGCCTTATCTCTGGGTTTGACAGCTCACGTTAGTGCTTTATTCTTAAAGAGACAAGGTCACTCTTGCCCGCTGTATGGCTGTATGCTGCTGAGCCTCCTCCACAGGAAAGGTGTACATGCTCTGTGCCTTTGGAATGTGGTGGCTACTTGGTGATCTTCTAATACATATGGTGTATGGCTAACTTACACAATCAAGTGAGTGAGAGCAAAGTAGGTAACTCTGACCACTTGTGGGCAAGGAATCAAATCTGGCATATCTGATTGCAAGAAAAAATACTAAAATAAAGACTTTAAAAAGCAGTCTGTCTTAAAGAGATTGTCGTATTGTTTTAATAATGGGTGGAGACCAGAGGGAAGTAATGTGCACAGATCCCCTGGTAGGCAGGCATGGTCTGATTTGGCTTGGCCTTTCTGTTCAATGCAGAGGGCATGTTCAAGGCCACTGCTGCCACTACTAGCAGGAAATCACCCTGGACTAATCAGAACCCAGGGGAATGTAAGCTCCTTCTCCTGGGAGAGCATTAAACCTTGGACATGAACATGTCAGTCACATACAGCATGGCAACAGAAAATGACCAGACAGAGGCATACGTGTATTGGGTGGCCATAAAGTCCATGTGCAATTTAAGATAGTGTGCAATTTAAAATCACACATGTACTTTATGGCCACCTGTATTTTTTTTTGACGTGGAAAAATGCTTATAAAGCTAATTGAAAAAAGAAGAATGTAGAACAATAGGTAAAGCATAATCCAATTTTTGTTTTCTGAAGAACAGAAACAAAATCCTGTATGTATGTATAAACTATTAGCTTACAGGGGAAAATAACTGTGATTATCTGAGTTACGGGGTTTGGGATAAGTTTAACGTTTTTCTTTCTGCTTATCTCAGTGTTCCCTACTTCTTTCAGTGACAGTGTCTTTCTGTCACATGGAATCATGTGTGTTGGGGGCTGCACATGTAGGTGCCCCCCAGCTCTGGCATGGGAGGCTGTGGTTGCTGAGCTCCTGTAGTGGGGAGCATCTAGCAGACAGAGATGGAGGCAAGATGAAGCAGCTGATAAGAGAAATTGTTTTCATTTCTGGAGTGTCTCAGCAGCTTTGTGTGACGGCTGAGCCATGTGGGGTCCAGACTGGATCTGCCGGGCGCCGGATATTAGCTGCTTGGCCCCAGGGTTTCATTTCATCTGCTCTAATCAACGTGGTGGTATCTACAGTTATTAGTTTTTCTAACCTGTGGCTGCTATCAGCTCTGATAAGGTCTCCTTTTCATAAATTTACAGGCATTGCCTTCTTGCCAGCTAGCATCTCTTATCTCATTGGAACCAATATTTTTGGGATACTTGCGCACAAAATGGGGAGGTAAGATTATATAAAAACAATATTCATTCTGTTTTGCTTATAGTAATGCAGCCCTTTAAAAAAGTTCTGAATGTTTCTGCCTTCGCTGTTAGAAGTCATTGTTTTGATTTCTAAACATTTGAACAGGGTGAGGGTGCTGTGGTGGGAATTGAATGATTGTTTATTGTGCTTTCTCTTTTGCTAGGTGGCTTTGTTCTCTTCTAGGAATGATAATTGTTGGAATCAGCATTTTATGTGTGAGTAAAAAATGGCATTTGACCAATTGGAACAAACTGTGAATAAAACTTGCTTTAGGCGAGAGTCACCAAGAAACATTTTATAGCTGAGTTGGGTTTGTTGGTATTTTGTGACATATTTTATTCTAATTTTTTATCATACTAAACATTTTTGGACAAGACTTTCCAGGTGGTATATTTTCATTTTATGTCAGAAATTATTTAGAATGTTTTCTTATATTACATGTTTACTTGTTACTTAAATTACAAGTTTACTTTTAACTTGTTTTCTCCCCAGTCATCTTAAACATTACAGTGTCTTAAACACTTCTGGGCAACTTAAATAATAGTAAGGTGTTTATCTCGACTAAAATGTCTTCTACCAGTGGCCAACATCTACCCCCAAAGAGGAGGCCTTTTTGTCCTTGTCAAAACTTGAGTGTGGGCCAAGTGCAGTGGCTCATGCCTATAATCCCAGCATTCTGGGAGGCTGAGGCAGGAGGATTGCTTGAGCTCAAGAGTTCAAGACCAGCCTGAGCAAGAGCAAGACCCCTGTCTCTACTAAAAATAGGAAAATGAGCCAGGCATAGTGGTACATGTCTAAAGTTCCAGCTACTCGGGAGGCTGAGACAAGAGGATGGCTCAAGCCCAAGAGTTTGATGTTGCTGTGAGCTGTGCTGCCACAACACTCTACCCAGGGTGACAGAGACTCTGTCTCAAACAAACAAACAAAAACCTTGAGTATCCACTAAAATGATCCTTCACATATGGCAGTAGTTTTTCATAGTAGTCATAAAACTTGTATTGAGCTTTGACTTTAAGATTGGGAGGGTTTAGTTCTTCCCACCCCGTCCCCCCTCCTGTTTCCTTCAGAAGGGAACAGACATACCAGGCCCAGAGAAAGCCTTTTTAGGGCTTTCCAAGATGATTTAGAGTTCAATCTCTTGTTATTCTAGCATAACATTTATTTCTTCTTACAGATTCCTTTTGCAAAAAATATTTATGGGCTCATAGCTCCGAACTTTGGAGTTGGTTTTGCAATTGGTAAGCTACGTAGGCTGGGGCCTAAATTAAAGCTGTTTTCCCACTAGGAAAGGTTTCCTGTGACTCCAGTAGACTAGTTATTCAGCCTAAATTTCTAGACCCTTGGAGACTGCAGGCAGCATAGCTCAATTACAGCCTATAGATCACCCATCTAAAGATACCAGCTTCCAGGTACTAGTCATTTGTTTCCAAAAAACCAGTATTTTTTAAAGCTTGATATTTACGGAAGCAGATGGATACTCCATTGCTGTGCTTGGGCAAACAAAGGAATTCTGTACTCAGAGTACATTTATTTGGACTCACTTATGAGCATGTGTTCTCATTGGAGGGATCCTATGTGGGGTCAGACCGCATGTATATTTTTTTGTACCAGGTTTGCTACAGAATAAAGAAGACTGATAAACTGATGACCACAGGTGGTGTAGGAATTTTCATAGGCAAAGATGGGTCTTTGTAATGTTAGGAACAATAACTGATATGTTAGGAAAAAGTCTTTTAATATTTTGGATGAATGGTATACTTTTGTTATCATGGAAAAAGTAGATGCTAAATCATAGGATAAAGGCAGGAATTGCATCTCTCAGTGGTGTGTATAGTAGAAAGAATGAAGAGCGCCTCATCTGACCCTGGGCTGAGGTCAGGTTCCCCCATAGCATGGGTTCTCATCCTGTGGGTTGTGACCCACAGGAACTGGATTAAAGAGCCGGGGCATTAGGAAGGTGGAGAACCACTGCCCTATAGACATGTCTTCTCATAGCACCTTCACAGTATCGTGACAACGAAAAACTGAAATTCATTCTTTTAACTCTTTGTTTAATGTCCAACTCTTAACATTAGTTGTGTTCATCTATAGGTCCCTAGAACCTTGTGCATATTAGGCTATTAGCAAGTAATGTACGAATGAAGTCCCCTCAGCTGCCTGCTGCTGTCACATGTGTAGGAGGGGAGGGAACTAACATTAGAGACTTCCGCAGATATGTTCACAGACACTGCTCATTATACCCAGTGATCAGCATCCCATTTTATAGATGGGGAAACTGATGCTCGGAGAGGCTAGGCATGATCATGCTCACTCAGACAGGGAGTTTGGTACCCAGAGCCCAGGACATATGTGCATTTTTTATGCTACCTGTTCTCCACTACTCAGGAGACCAGAGATTCTGATACTGGTCTTGGTTTCTTTTTTTTCCCCCTTTAGCTAATTTCTCTCTGTTTCAGTTTCTTGAGTAGGGCCAGATTATTTCTCACAATCCTTGGAGTTCTGGGGCCCTCTGATCCTCCCTAGCATTCTCCACTTTGGTAACTGTCATCGTCTACGTGTGAGGCTCAGGGCGGAGGCTGGGGGAGCTACAGTGTGCCAAGTGGCAAGAGAAGAGTGGACCAGAAAACAGTGAATCAGGAAAGCACTGACAGGCCGCAGCGTAGGGCTCCACACAGCCAGTAACCTGCAACCTCACCCCCAAAGATGGGCCATTCAGACAGTGGAGGACAAGGGGAGGCAAGACAGAGGGCAGGCACACAATGTCAGGCAGGACTTGGAGCCCTGTGCTGGGCCCTGGGCCCCAGTCTCAGCGACTTCTACTATGAGTCCTCAGTGAAGGTGCAGTGATTGCATGGAGACTTAGAGGTGGCGACAGGAGGGCAGGAGCAGGAGGTAGTGAGTTTAGGAAGCAGCCCCTGCTCTCCAGCCCACTGTTGGCTCACAGCCTTTTCTGTGCATGTGTCTTCCCCCCCCCACCCACCTGTCCTCAGGAATGGTGGACTCGTCCATGATGCCCATCATGGGCTACCTGGTGGACCTGCGGCACGTGTCCGTCTATGGCAGCGTGTATGCCATTGCAGATGTGGCGTTCTGTATGGGATACGCTATAGGTAAGGACACTGGGTTTCCCCAACAACTCTTTACCTCATTGCAGGACAGATCATGCCTGCTACAATTATTTCAATCTTTGTATGTTTCTGTTTACAAGACATTAGGAAAGACCTTTATCTAATTCTTTTGTTTCCTGAAAGGTCCTTCTGCTGGCGGTGCTATCGCAAAGGCAATCGGATTTCCATGGCTCATGACAATTATTGGGATAATTGATATTCTTTTTGCTCCTCTCTGCTTTTTTCTTCGAAGTCCACCTGCCAAGGAAGAAAAAATGGTAAGAAAAACCTAGGATACATTGAAGCATTTCTTGATCCTGTTAGCACTGTCTTCTGGAGAGTTTTCTCCTGGTTTAATTCTAAAATACTATTTCTGCTGCTTTTGGGCAAAAGCCTCCAAACAAATGGTGAGAGTTGCTGTTTAGTTTGTACCACATAGGGCAGTGACTTCTTTTATTTTTTGCTACTTTTACAGTTATTAAGGATTATGTTTATAAACTTAACAAATGAAATCGTTTTGTGCCTAGATTAGCACCAGTGTAGCTCTTCTGTCAACCAGATATAAACTTGGGTAGTACAATTTGATTTTCGATGGTTCTTGAAAATCTTGGACATAAAGTTTCTGCCTCCTGTATTCACTCCCAATTTAATGCAGTTTGCTTTCCTGCTGATCTTTACATCATTCAGTAATAGTTGGTGTCTTGGTCTTTACGGTATGTAGGATTCTGGAGATCGTTTTAGGGTGTTGTTTTAAAAATGAAAAACCATTGTATGTATAGCACACAGGTCACCACATAGAACTGTTTAATTTATAACTTTATAACCATAATTACAGCCATAGGCAAGGTAAAAAATGTCCCTCTTCTGAACGAGTTAAGATTTATTGATTCTCGACTTGAATTTTGAAATGCGTAACTCATGAAAATCTTTCTAAGGTATTTTCCTTCCCTAGCAAGGAGAAGCTCAGTGGGTCTGATAATTGTTCTTATCTGGTAGTGGTATCGCTGTTTCTGTAAACATCAAATGCTGGTAAATACTCATCTAGCTCAAAGGGGAGTGCTTTGGGTTATGAATGAAAGGGATGAACCAGGAGAAATGGTTATTTTGTGTTTATGAATAGAAAAGATTACGGATGTTTTCTCGGAAGTACATGAGAAGTTCTGACAGTTGAGCTGAACGAGCATTTAGATGTTTTGGGGTTTCCTGAACTGTCCTTTGATGGTTTTCCTCAAAAGTGTATTTAAAGACAAACCCTAAAGTTAGCTTATGTGCAGCCTATGTTTATTTCTTGGGCATTTTTAGATTCATTAATTTATTAAACGTATTTAAAAATACATCACGCACTGGGCACTGGCCCTGCTCTTCCACCCCATACCACCTGCACATGCCTCTGTCAGGCAGGAGACTCTGTACTGGTCTTGGTTTCCTCCTGTGTTGGTGGAGAGGGAACTGACAGCATCTCCCTCAGGGGTGTTGTGAGGAGTAGATGAAAGAATCCCTGCAGGGCTTGGCCCCTGGTCGGGCTCCGCAGATAGGTCGGTATTTCCAACATCACCACACCCTTCCCTCTTGCTTTGAGTGAATTCTCTGGCTTCCTCTGTTAGCCCAGCGTTACCTGAATCTCCTCCCCTGCTTCCCTCTGTGACATGAGAGCTTCTCTTTGCTATACAGACCCCAAAACTGCTGACTGGGCTTCCCTTGCCAGGACACAGACATTAGAGGCTGTTGTGTTATCCATCAGTGGACAGCAGCATGCTGGCTTTTCTGAGGCCTGGGAGGATGTGAACGGGGTCAGAGGACAGGTAGAGGGTGTGTTGGCTGGCCAGCTGCCACGGCCTTCTGCGGATGACAGGCGGGGCCGGCCTCAGCACTGCTCTCCCCGTTTAAGCCAGAGCTTTAGTTCATATGAAAAACAATGCTGAAGGAAGTAGAAGAGACGATCCTGAAAAGCAAAGCAGAAATCACAGGTTTCCAGAAAGCCACTTGCAGTGTAAAATGTCACAATCCTCAATAAGCGCCTCGCAAGAGAAATCATTAAAAACTGCAGAAAATGCCTCTCGTGGCCCATAATTGATGCCCATAATTGAAGGCATCACGTCAGATGGCATTTGGCTGGCACAGTGGTAACATGTGAGGTGGCGGCCACCAGCTGCCGCTACTCATTGTGCAAGCAGAGCAGGAAGAAAATGAGGAAGGCACTAGCACCTAATGACAAGGGGGCATTCAGGTAGGACACGCCACAGAGCGGGGAGGGAGGATCGATTGCTGTGCACTTGAGAAAACCGGTATGACAAGTGCTGGCGTTCAGAATGATTCTTTCATCAGCATCCTGGTAACAAGGTGTTTGGGCTTAAGCTGTTTTATATTGAACAAAAGGCCTGATGTGATTTTCATGGATCACGAAGTCAGAGAATCCTGAACCAGTTGGTGAGCACTGGAGTTTTCCTTCCATTTGGTTTACTGGATCTCTGCTTTTTATAATCTGCTTTTTTAAGTCTAAAAAGTTTGTTACTCAATCCCTCTGCAAGTGTGAGAAGTATCTACACTGCCATTTGAGGACAATGCTGCAGTTATCAGACAGTTACACGGTTGCCCTTAAACTCTCAGAATACCCAGCTGAGAATAGCTGTATCCTGGGATGGATATTTTTTTCCAGGTTGAAGAATTATGTTTAAAGATAGGGCATATTTCTTAATTTTACTCTTGAAGTTTTTAGTTGTTGTGTAGGCAGGAAACTAGGTGGTTTGGGATTGACTGCGCCTTGCTTGTACTGATGGGAGACGTCTGACGGTTGTCCCACAAAGCCCTTCCAGCAACAACTCTGTTTTCTGGATGCTGTGGCTTGGCAAGAATGGGGGGCCCGAGGCTAAGGAGACCAATATGGTCTACATAATAGTATCATCCATTTATAGAAATGGGTCCCTTTGCAGGGTATTTGCATACTGGATACAAAGCGGTGACTGTTTTTTTCCTAGTTATGTTAAAGAGAATAAAATTTTTCTCCTTGGCAGACCTGCCCCTGTCAGCGTCTCCGATCCTTCCATTTGCTCACTTTCCCAGCTTCGTATTTGCATTACCCTTACACTTTGTTTGGTCCAGCGTGTTTGGAGATCATGACTCATGAGCTAGGTGTTTGGCAGGGGCTAGGGTTCACGTCTCAGTACGTTGGCTTTGCTCTCAATCCAAATACCAGGCTCTCCTTTGGACTTTCTCCTCCCCACAGAAGTATGTGGAGAGCTGGTTTAATTTACTGGCCTGTTCCACAGGCCTCCCTCAACTTGTTCCTCATACACTGAACTTAACTGTTTGCTGCTGTTTAGGCCTTTCTTTTCATGGCTGTGCTTTTTTTAAGAGAACAGGGTCTTGCTCTGTTGCTGAAGCTGGAGTGCAGTGGTGGATCATCGCTCACTGTAACCTTGAACTACTGGGTTCGAGTGATCTTCCTCCTTCAGTCTCCTGAGTAGTGAGGACCACAGGTGTGGACCACCATGCCTAGATACTTTTTAAATTTTTTGTAGGGATAGGGTCTTGCTGTATTGCTCAGGATGGTCTCAAACTCCTAGCCTCAAGTGACCCTCCTGTCTTAGCCTCCCAAAGTGCTGGCATAATAGGTGTCAGCCAGTTCACCTGGCTTATTTAATCATGTATAACTTTATATAAAATAGTTTAACTATTTCTAGCACTCCGGGAGGCTGAAACAGGGATCTCTTGAGCTCAGGAGTTTAAGAACCTGGACAAGAGTGAGACCCTGTCTCTACCAAAAATATAAAAAATTAGCTAGGCGTGGTGACACTTGCCTGCAGTCTCAGCTACTCAGGAGGCTGAGGCAGGAAGATTGCTTGAACCCAGGAGTTTGAGGTTGCTGTGAGCAAGGCTGACACCACCACATTCTAACCTGGGCAACAAAGTGAGACTCTGTCTAAAAAAAAAAAAAAAAGGTACAACTATTGCATAATACACCTTTGAATGAAAGTTCAGAAGCCAGGAAGCTAGGTTTTAAAAGCTACAAAACAATGCTTCAAGGGAGAAAACTTCTCTGAAACAGGCTTTTGACAAATACACTGCGTAAATTGACAAATTCTAATCATTTGAGTCTATAGGATGTCAAATAATTTATCAGTCTGACTGAACTTCTTTCCCTGCAGTGCAGTTTTTTGTTGAATTCGCGTATGTGCCCATCCTAGTTCGGGGGGCAGGGGGCTGGTCCTTAGATTAACAAATGCGTATATTCAGGTCTAATGCGGATGAACCAGGAGGTGGCACACCATTACGAGAAAGGAGAGTAACGGCCATCCTTTCTAAGGCTACCTTGCTGCCTGTGGGCACATAAAGGCTGAGGCCCCAGGCCTGGCACTTTCCAGCTGCTGTCTCACCAGATCTCGTCAGATCTGTGTGACGGCCTGGCTGGCTTACTTGGTGTCCTGCTTGGTGAATAACCTGTGCTCTGCTCATCATCACCTCCCCTGCTGTCCATATCCTTTCCATCTTTCCAGGTTCACCTCTCCCATCTAGCTTTCCCTGGTGTTCCTGTCCTCCTCAATGCAGGAGGGTAATTACATTGCTGGGATAGGACCTAAAGGGCACGGACACAGCACGGAGTAGGCGCCCTCTAAGCTGCTGTCAGCTGAATGACTATGCTATAATCTTAGATAATGCCATGCAACTAGGGTAGTGACTTTTTTTTTTTTTTGAGACAGAGCCTCAAGCTATCCCCCTGGGTAGAGTGCCATGGCATCACAGCTCACAGCAACCTCTAACTCCTGGGCTTAAGCAAGTCTCCTGCCTCAGCCTCCCAAGTAGCTGGGACCACAGGCGCCTGCCACAACGCCCAGCTATTTTTTGGTTGCAGCTGTTATTGTTGTTTTGGTAGGCCCGGGCTGGATTCGAACCCACCACCTTAGGTGTATGTGGCTGGCGCCTTAGCCACTTGAGCCACAGGCGCCAAGCTGTAGAGCAGTGACTCTTGAAGCTTGTTGACACCACCGCCATGTGAGGGTAGAGATCTGAAATTTCATTTTAACCTGGTCTGCTCCCCCACACCCCACAGTGATCCTTGGGCATATTTCTTTGAGAATAACTAATTTGGGGGAAATGAGAAATTTAGTTAATTAGGAGGGTTAAGTTTTTGTGTAATCTAGGTAGAATGGTCCTGGTAGTCAAAGTCTATTGCCTTAATTATTTATTTTTAGAACTTGAGCTCTTTGTAAATATCAATTCACTTGGCAGGGAGCATAATGACCAGCAGTTCAATCTGAAGCTGACAATTGGAGCTGGCAGCCTACTTAGAGGGTCAAGGAGGTCCTTATCTTCACATGTCATACAGGCCAATCATTTGAGAATGTCTTGGGAAATGATAAATGAGTTAAGCCCTGGAGTGGAGTCTTATCAAAACTGTGAGACAAGAGCTAGGAGTAATGGCTAACGGACACCAAGATGGGCTGTACTACGCCAGTATCAGATACATTTTAATCCCTTTAGATTTGCAAACTGTACAAAAAGATAATGGGGGAGTAATTCATATGAAAGAAAAAAACCTCTTGGAGACATACCTGATGAGAATTCACTTCAGTGGACATCCAGCGCCATCCTCTGCGCTCTTCCCATCACTGTGGAGTGCTATAAGAGTGGGCTTTGTGCTGAGGCTCCCTCTGCCCCATTTTTAGCCATGCATCCCTTGGTCAAGCCTGTTTTCTCAACTGGCTACAGAGGGTTACAGGCAGTCACTGGGGTATGAACGAGATTGGTTCCATAGGTTTGTTCTTAAATTGAATTTATATGTAAGTTGGAACAGATACATCTACCTATTGCCTGTAGTAGCCTCTGTTGCGAAGTTTGAATTGCACATTAGTTAGATGTTTGTACCTTAGGGGCTGCCTGTACTGTGAAGTTAATATAAGTAAGGTAATATAAAACACTCAGCAGGGTCCTGGCACAATAGATCAGCTTGCTGTTAGCCTAGGTGTGCTTGGTTCAATTTACTTTTAGGAAGAACTGACTGTATATACTTATTGAAAGTGTGGTTTGAAAGCAAAGTATTGCTTTTTGGGGGTCACATTATATTTTAATTTTAAGTAACAGTAAAGAAGGGCATGAGAAGTTCAGGTTCATGCGAAGGAATATATTTTCAAAAAATCAGACATTTGAGATAGAGGACAGCCAGAATTTGGGGAGATGGGGTCTGGAGATCACATTTATGAAAATATAAAGGGCCTAGCTTAAAAAAACACTTTGGGGGCCGTGTCTGTGACAATACCAGAATGAGGTCCACGAATGGAAAGGAGGGAGATGGGTCTTAGGGTAGCCTAAGGTATGTTTCTAATGGGAGCCCTTCCTTCATTAGGGAGAGAGCATGTCTTGTCCTTATAAAATCTCATAGCACAATGAGTCTGCAGACAGCAGGTGTACTGGGTGACCTCTAGGATCCTCCCACTCCAGTTCCAAGATGTAACTCTTTTTAAACCTAATCTGCCCACCCCTGTTCTGCGTGTAAGTTCCCAGAACTGCCTTACGGCCCCAGCAGGGATAAGGAAGATTTGGCAGAGACCACTTCTGCCATTTCCTACTTACTGCCTGGAATCTTCAAGAGTGTAGAACTCCATGTCTCCTAAGCCAGATAACTTGGTGACTGCTCCAAATGACTGGTTAATGCAAATAATTATATATAGCGTTCGAACTAATAATCTTTAAAAACAGTACCTTAAAATTGTCTTATCTTTATGAAACAAGAAGTTAACATGCTTGCACTTTGCTCTCTTTTAGGCTATTCTCATGGATCACAACTGTCCTATTAAAACAAAAATGTACACCCAGAATAATATCCAGTCATATCCAATAGGTGATGATGAAGAATCTGAAAGTGACTGAGACCTTCAAAAGTCATCACAGTATTTAATTGTGTAAAACAGTGTTTCCAGTGAAATGACTCATCCAGACCTGTCTTAGTCATATCATCCATCCCTGGTTAAAGAGGAAAACAACCAAAGGTTATTATTTCTTTTCCATGGTTATGATTGATTGCCAACAGCCTTATAAAGAAAAAGAAGCTTTTCTAGGGGTTTGTATAAATAGTGTTGAAACTTTATTTTATGTATTTGATTTTATTAAATATTATACAATATATTTTGACGAAATAGGTATAGTGTAAATCTATAAATATTTGAATCCAAATCAAATATAATTTTTTAACTTACATTCATGAACACTTGGGCAAAAATCTTGTATTTTTTCTGAATTTTGGTAATGAGTGTTTAAAACTAAAGCACACATTATCTCTGAGACTCTTCTAACAAAGAGAAACTAGAAGGAAATCTGAAAAACAGAATCGATAAGACAGCATGTTATATTAGTCACACTGAATGAGTGTAGTCATTATCAATACAGACATGAATTAAAAGCTAGTTATCTCAAGTATAGAGGACAAGCACTTGAGTCAGTCATCTTTTGGATTTATCCATAAATCTTAAATGGCATTAGTTTTCACCTACCTGGAAAGAGATGGTTGTAAATTATGTTTACATGCCATGTGGTTGGCAGCCGACATAAAGCCAACTAGGAGAAAATACTAAATGTTCTGAAAGCAGAGCTAAGTACTCAAACATATAGTTTTGAACTAGCAGCTTTCCCTTTAAGATGTATATTTGCTTCTTAGCGGAAGAAAGACAATTGAGGGGTGTACGTATGTAACATTGCCAGAGTTGTTTAAGCAAAGTTTATCAACACCTAGTTCAAGTTTCAGAAAAGGAAATTGAATAGGCTAATGGCTGCTCTGCCTTGGAAAATCAGACTATACTATCTTAGACCTGTCTTGCAGGTTATCCAAGTGTTTTCTAGGGATTATTAATTTTAAGTTCTAAAATTATTTTTTAGACTTCCTGAAAGTTATGAAAACAGACTTTTAACAAGGATGGGAGGGACACAATTGTGTTTAGGAAAACAGGTTAAAAAAAAAAAAAACAGGGTGGTGGACTCATCCCTTTTCACAGGCAGAAAAGAAAAACCAAACATCTAAAAAATATGTTAATGTGTCATCTAGTGGGCAGTGTAGTGTAGTTTTTTTCTAGGCATGAAAACATTGATGTGCCTTTTCAGTGCAACAGCAGATACCATTAGTGAACAGTGTCGGTTTTTGTTGTTTTGTATGAGATATGACTGGAGTGTGAAGATGTCTCAAATAATACTTGTTCATTCTGCAGTTCTGTCATCAGAAACAAAAATTAATTGAATGTCAGTTTTGTTAAGCTAGAATTAATTGTGTTTGTGTTAACTTGGACATCCAGGAGCAAAGAACTTTAGAACAAAGACTCCTCAACTTTAGGACTATTTCTTACTCTCTAGGAAAGTAGCTAATACTTTTTCTGCTTCATAAAGCTTCCATGGTTTGGAGTCTGGTCTCCAAGTGCAGCGTGTTGGAAGCAAACAAGCTTCCTACTCACTTATTTGCACTGGGTAATTTAACACAAGTTGGCTATTTTGCAAGATGGCACTGGAGGAACTCTTAATATGGCTAAAATAAAAAGGCAGGGCAGTTTCTACTTCTGTAGGGGGAGAGCCTTAAAGAATGTGCTACCAATTGGTTCTTTTTGAGGGTTTCTGATTCTCCTTGCCCGGAATACAATTTTCTGTTTGCCTTTAAGGTTCAGCTTCTGTATGAATGACTGGCAGAAGCAGGCCTGCTATTGATCCCTTGGGTTAAACTATGTATCAAGTTTTCAGAACTGTTTTGGGAGCAAAGGATAGGTTGTATCTGAGAAAAAGGTCTTATATGACTGATATTCTGCATTAGCAAGACTGAAAAAAAATTTTTTAAAAAATGTATGTATCAGAACAAAGAACATACAGCAATCTGAACATGTATTTTTTGAACAGAGGTGGTTTTTATGTTTGTACCTGGTAATACCGACAAGGTAGCACTGAATATTCAACTCTTTCCTTTGACTGCTATTATCTATCCAAGTCATGTCTGAGCTAGTTTACTTAATAAATCTTCTCAACATTGGACTGGGCCAGTTTGTGTTGTATATACACCAGACATAGGTGCTGGAATAAAGTATCTAAGGTGGTATCATTTTGACTGTGGATATTTAATTTAAAACTATTCTGTGCTTGCAGGCATCAAGTAAAACTACTCAAGGTTAGTTTGCCCGTATGTTTTGGCTTTCCACAACTGTTTTTAGACTGAAATATGTAATGAGCCACACTATGTCAATGTGGAAAATACCAGTAAGTCATCCTTGCATCTGTAAACTTATTGTTGTCCTGATTGTTTTGAACATGTAAACTGTATTTTAAAAAGTAACATCCAACCATCTCACATTATAGTGCTTAGCCTGGTTTCTGTAAAACCTTTGGAATGAGGGACATTCTGAATGGCATACTTGTATGTATCTTCCAGGGATAAAAGCCCACAACTTTAGATCTTAAAGGGAAGCATGACTCAAAAGGGATTGGGGGACTGCCCACTCTTTTTCTGTAAGGGAAGCTGTTTATCTCAATTAATAATACATTTTTAGTGAGTTAAAATTTACTCTAATTTTAGAGGACTTAATATTTTATTCTTTATTCTATTACTGTTAGTAAGGGCCAAATATTTTTAAATTGCTTTTAAAAAATCCAGATGTACTTAAATTTAGAATTTGACAGAACTTCCAATATTCTAAAGCTGTATGTTCTCCTCCCAGAGTCACAAAATACCCACACAGTATTTCAGTCTCATATGTCAACATATGATATTGAGGGAATGTAAGGCTTGCTATGAGGAAATGGGCCTATTAGTTATGACTGCTAAAATGCTGCTCAGCCTGACTGTCCAACTTGGCCATTCAGATCTAAATGCCAGTGTAGAAAATACACTTTGAATAATCTAATTACTAATATACAGCAGAGGCAAACCTATAAATGTGATAATCCACAGGTTAAGGAAATAATGAGAAAAAAATTAACACTTGAGCAGTTTGCAAAATAGCAGTTCATTTAGCAAAAGTGAACTTTGATAAGCTTGTCTGCATGACCAAATTATACCAGAGGATAATTCCATAGAGATGTAGCAATCACTTTTTAGATGTTATCAAATGAAGATATTCTTGTTTTCTGTGGTAGTCTTTATTATTTTTGAGCTATTGATAACATAGCGTGGCAGCAAGATTACATAAGTAATGTAATATAATACAGCTTTTTCATTGAAGCCTTATACCTTACTGTACTCTAGGCCACCTGGAATGTTTCCCCCCTGCACTAAGTAAACTGTAATGCTTCTACTGTCTCTCCCTGTAGATATAAAAATATTGCACTACATTAAAGGTGTATTTTACAAATATCCTTAGCAGCATTACTGAGCTTTCCATAATTATGGTTCTACAGAGTTAAATACTTTGAAATATGAGTAGATTCTTACGAAACCAACGTTTTGCATTATTTCTATAGTTCTTTCAGATGCATCAGTTTCAGCAGCATGCCTGGATATCACTAAAACATCCATGGTTTAATCAGTAAACACTAGTCACTTATAGAAACTCCACCTTCCAGGTTATCAATGGTTAGTTATTTTTTATAGGATGAAATGTGGTTATACATTGGGGCAGATTGTTTAAAGCGTATGTTTATGGAACAACATTTTAGTTTTCAGGGAATTTGGTGTGTAAAGTTTTCTATAGCAGTGCTCATGCTTATAAACTTGAGCAAGGAAGGTATTTAATGTCTCAATATTTCACTTAAAATAACAGGCATGAGAGCTGGCTATTGATTTTTAAAGTAGAGTTAACTTTTGCAACCTCAAAAATGTCTTTCTAAACAGTACCTTTTATTTGTATAGCTTTCTACTGTTCAAAGCACTCTGGAGTCATGCTGTTGTCTTTCTTACAGTAATCAAGTGAGGCAGAGTTTTTATTATTCCCATTTTGGAGATGGGGATAGTGAGGCATGGAGCCCTTTTGTAACTTGCACAGTTCATAAATGGAAGAACTTGAATTTAAACTCATACATAGAGTTCTGGACTACAGACCTGGACCACAATCATATTTTAATATTACGCTATACCTTTCCTGCCAACCATAAAAGCTATTCCATCTAGTTTAAAATGCATGTCAGTGACAGAGATTATCAGTCATCTTAGCAGTTACCTATGCAAGGGGAAAACATACACATCTATTTTACAGGTATATAATAGCCCACAATTTTAAGGTATACCTCTTAAACAGAGGTCAAGCTTACACATTTTCCCTCAGCCACGTGTTTACTGGGACCTAGTATCAGAGTGGATCTTCATTTTCAGACAACTGGTCCCAACTCCTGTGTATCTATCCTGTTTTTATTTGTCTTTCATTTCTTAACTAATAAAGATAGTCTGAACTCAAGAAGTATTCAGAATGATCAGCATTCCTAAAGCCTATAAGATAGACAAAGCAATCAATGTATTTTGCATGATTCCTCTCCTTCACAAACTCATACATGAAAATGTTTCTAAAACAAATCAGCCAGAACTAGTTATCTACTGCAGTCATTTTAAGAACAGTCCTCTGAAACTTGAAATATCCTTGCACATGCTTTATTTCCTGTGGGAGAACTGAAGATGAAAAATAGTCGTGGAGATTTAGAACTTCCATTTAAAAGGAAAGCATCAACATTTTAAAAGATTATATTTTAAAATCCCACTGCTTACTGTTTTTCAGTAATTAAATCTTGTCACCCTCTCTAATTCTCAACCAAGTGCATTCTATATTCCCTATTACATTTTATTTTTCAATCCAAGTTCTTCAAAATGAATCACCATACTTACTATGCTTCAGTTGCATAAAAGCTTTAGAAAAAAACTTCACAGAAGCATTGAAAGCAAGCAGTATGTGTAAATTATTTTTTTACTAAATCAGCATAACAGACTAAAGCTGCAGCATGTGCTTTCATGTTACATTTGGCAAAAACAAAAAGCTCCCCAAGACCCCCCAAATAACAAAAATCTCAAGCAAGTAGAGATGACAAACTTCATAAAAGAAAAAGATTCAAAACCTGTTCCCTCAATGATTGCTGTTGTCAATTTGGGCATGCAGCAAATTTGTAAAAACCATGATAGAAATGAAGGTATTTCAAGAACCCAGACAGTATGCTACTTAACGCTAATTCAGAAACGAAGAGGAAGGAAAATAACCTAATGAGACATTACACATACATAAACATGAAAAGTTAGCTTACATAATTAGAAAAAGTTAAAAATAAATTAGTAAAAATAAATTCCCAGTATAAACCCAAAAAGCATCGCTATAAATGCAATCCAAAACAAACCAGTTAGTGAGCTGGCCATGTTTTTGCTGGAAAACAACCTTTTTCGTTCTTGTTCTTACACAAGCAAGTTGATTGTGCAGCAGGAGGCCAAAGTGCTTTCTAAGAGGATTTAAATGTGGTTTTATCTGTGGTGTATTAAATGCAACTTTCCCCCAATCATTTGGAAGTTTAAATAGAGTGTCACACAGACTCAGATGGGCCAAATAAGTCATCTGATATGCTGCTGAATGGCTGAGCGTCTATTAGTTGGCTTAGTTCGTTATCAAGGTCTTCTTCTGTATCATCTGTGTACTTGCTCATTTTTTTTGAATGCTGGTCTAAAGACAGACTTTCTAAAGTTTCTATATCTTCTATGCCTGCTCTGTAGTGGATCATAAGAAGTGTGAGAGCTTGTAGTCTTTCACCTGATTTAGCCAAAGCAGCAGAAAGAAGTGATTTTTTCCTTGTATCAGTTGTCTCCTTTTCTTCTCTAACAAGGGAATTATTGTGTTCCAGCTCCTGATCAATTTCATTCTGTAGTTTATCCAACATGAACTCCAGTTTCTGGATCCTTTCCTCTGTTGGCAAGCCCCTGTACAGATCACGACCGATTTCTTTAACTGCGATGAAGACGCTGTCATCCAGGCCACCCTCCTTTCTCACTAACTTTATTCCTGTGCTGCTTCCCCGTTTAGAAGGACTGTTTGGACCACAGACCTCTGTGTCACTGCCTTCGTTGTCTGACGTGTTGGGTGTGTGTTTTGGTGAAGGTTCTACAAGATCAGTTCCTGGTTCAGAAAGGCGAGTTTTAGAGACTGGACGCAAATTTAACAGACGAGAGCTAGTATTGATAATATGCCTCGTCAAGCCTGTCGTTTTATTAACTGACTTGTTAGCTTCAGCATCTACGCGAGGTGGCAGGCCTAAAAGGGTTTCCTGTCCCTCCAGCCTAAGGTTTTTCAGGGTCCTGTCTATCCGCCTATCAGTTGACCCACAAAGAGGAGTCTCAGCTAGACATTTTTCTTGACATTTTTTATGGCAAACATAAGCACAAAACATACATTGGGAAGCAGCTTTAGTCCAAACTTTTTTCTTGCAGTAATCACACCAAGTTGGGTTCTGGAACTGAGTATCCTGGAAACTGTGTTTATTTTCTGTCAGACCCATCTGTCCAACAAAGGGCTCCTCTTTAGGGAGAGCAGCAACTTCTTCAACCAAATGGGGCTCTTTTTCTTTCTCTGTGTTAGTAACTATATGGTGGTCTGATTCTCCTTCTTTCAGATATTTGAAGTGAATGGTAATGTCACCAAAGCAGAATTTGTCATTGAATCCCTTCTGCATACTGAGATTTCGTAGTGAAGTTCTAGTGACTATAGCTTTAGGTGCGGGGGCTTCCAGTCTGAATTTTGAAAGGTATTCCATGTTTGATGTAGCAAGGCATCCTAAAGCTACTTCTTCAAGTTTTAAACTAACATGCCCCAAACAGATGAGACCCCCCAACTTAAAAGGATCCCTGCACCACAGTGCAATGTTTAAGTACCTGTGGCTGGCTTCTATGTCAAACAGACAGGATGCTCTTGTCCATTTTCCTAGCTTATTACGATAAAGAACTTCTGAAGATTCCCATGTTTGACGGTCGTCAGAACTGTCTTTAGTAGGATAGGAACTTTCCGAAGTAAAATCTTTACCCACTTCCTGCTTTGTGAAGAACTGCTTACATGAAGCTCCATCGTCCATGTGATCTACATTTTTTGCTTGCTTTTCAGCAGGTTTGTCTGCAGGAGGAGGAGGAGGAGGCGGCGGCAGCACCTTCTCTGGCTTTTCGAGAACAACATCTGGTTCTGCCTGACTTGGGGCATCGGTGGAAGGCAAAGGGACTTTTATTTGTGGTCTTGGTGGCACAGGTGGCTTAAAGGTGGATCCTTGGGCGGGTTTTGACACTTGTGCTGGGTCTGTTACCTCAGAAGTTTTTAGGGGTGAGGGTTTATTTCCTTCTTTAGATGGAATCTTTGGTGGTGGTGGTGGTGGTGGGTGACTTCCCCCAACTAATTTGCGGTTTAAAACTGGTGATATAGCTCCAAGGGGTTTGAGAGAAAGTGTTGTTGGAGTACGTTTGGGACTATGACTTAATGACTGTGCCTCATCTTTGAACTCATTTTGTGCCCTGACATCACTTGCCAAGTCTTCAAATTCAGAATCCAGCTCTTTATTTTCAGCATCTATTGCCAGTCCAGTAGTTTCCTCTTCATAAACTGGTTGGCATGAGCTTGACAAAAAGTTTTCTTCCAACTGCCCCAGATTATCCTGCAGCATTGCCCCTTGATTGCTCTGGCCCACCGGCCTCTCGTAGTACACCAGGACCCGCTCGCCAGCCTGCTTGATGAGCTTCAACACTTGCAGTGTCGATGTAATTTTCACACCTGGTTGAAGATTTTAAAATGGAAAAGCTGTGAACTACTGCAATAAAATCTGCCTACATTTGTTAAATATAATTGCCATTGCCTCTGATCATTTAACTAATGGAAGTGTGATAGGAAAATCTCAAAAATATTTTATGTGGCTCTGGATCAGTCAGTGTACTGATTTTCAAAACCTTAATGTGCTGATATCGTGGAAATGATTGCCTTTCAAATCAGAGGGTGACAAACTCCCTAGAGTGCTAAGCTGCTAACTCTGTTTCCCATTCCTTCCTAGGTTAAATGACATTTTTCAATTTGAACTGAGAAAGTGAACAGAGTGAGACCTATTTAAAA